AAGACCTAGAAGCCTGGCTTCCAATTTTGAATTCTGCTTTAAGCCCAGTTATGACGATGTCAAATTCATTGCACTCTTTCCTCCAGACAAAAAAATCAACTGCATGCACAGTAAAGATGCCTGAAAATTGCCCCCACCACCCACCCCTCCATGGTGCTGGTAAAACAGGGCAGGGCTGGCTTCAACAAGATAGACCTTCCTGAGAAGTACCAAGCTCTAGAGGCATTACACCTTACTTCGGTTGTGGGTAAAGTGTTGGAAAGGATTATAAGAGGTAGGATTTATAATCATCTAGAAAGGAATAATTTGATTAGGGATAGTCAACACGGTTTTGTGAAGGGTAGGTGCCTCACAACCCTTATTGAGTTCTTTGAGAAGGTAACCAAACAGGTGGATGAGGGTAAAGTGGTTGATGTGGTGTATATGGATTTCAGTAAAGCATTTGATAAGGTTCCCCATGGTAGGCTATTGCAGAAAATACGGAGGCATGGGATTGAGGGTGATTTAGCAGTTTGGATCAGAAATTGGCTATCTGTAAGAAGACAGAGGGTGGTGGTTGATGGGAAATGTTCATCCTGGAGTTCAGTTACTAGTGGTGTACCTCAAGGATCTGTTTTGGGGCCACTGCTGTTTGTCATTTTTATAAATGACCTGGATGAGGGCGTAGAAGGATGGGTTAGTAAATTTGCAGATGACACCAAAGTCGGTGGAGTTGTGGATAGTGCGGAAGGATGTTGCAGGTTACAGAGGGACATAGATAAGCTGCAGAGCTGGGCTGAGAGGTGGCAAATGGAGTTTAATGCGGAAAAGTGTGAGGTGATTCACTTTGGAAGGAGTAACAGGAATACAGAGTACTGGGCTAATGGTAAGACTCTTGATAGTGTGGATGAGCAGAGAGATCTCGGTATCCATGTGCATAGATCACTGAAAGTTGCCACCCAGGTTGATAGCGTTGTTAAGAAGGCGTACGGTGTGTTAGGTTTTATTGGTAGAGGGATTGAGTTTCGGAGCCATGAGGTCATGTTGCAGCTGTATAAAACTCTGGTGCGGCCGCACTTGGAGTATTGCGTACAGTTCTGGTCACCGCATTATAGGAAGGATGTGGAAGCATTGGAAAGGGTGCAGAGGAGATTTACCAGGATGTTGCCTGGTATGGAGGGAAGGTCTTATGAGGAAAGGCTGACGGACTTGAGGCTGTTTTCGTTAGAGAGAAGAAGGTTAAGAGGTGACTTAATAGAGACATACAAGATGATCAGAGGATTAGATAGGGTGGACAGTGGGAGCCTATTTCCTCGAATGGTGATGGCTAGCACAAGGGGGCATAGCTTTAAATTGAGGGGTGATAGATATAGGACAGATGTCAGAAATACATTCTTTACTCAGAGAGTAGTAAGGGCGTGGAATGCCCTGCCTGCAAAAGTAGTAGACTCGCCAACTTTAAGGGCATTTAAATGGTCATTGGATAAACATATGGATGATAATGGAATAGTGTAGGTTAGATGGGCTTCAGATTGGTTTCACAGGTCGGCGCAACATCGAGGGCTGAAGGGCCTGTACTGCGCTGTTATGTTCTATGTTTTATGTTCATTGAACTTCCTGAGTGTTCCCACTGCATTAGGTGCCTATTTTGGATGGCAAAGAAACACTCTTTTTAGCTGAACTCCCTGCAGAAATACAACTCTAATATCAACTGATCTACATTCCCAAGTATTTGCTGCTAACAAATAAAAGAAAATCTTCAAAATTCCTATCCTGACTGAGGTGCGTCTACTTTTGCCCCAGTTTTACTCCAAAACCTCAATCCACTAGCTTGGCTTGAGTCTTCTAAGTCCCGTTAGGAGCCATCTTTTCCAAGCATATCCATCTATGATATAGTGCTGGTGGTCCCCTATCTAGCACCTCTTTGTACACCTGAAATTCTCTCCAGCTTTGTAATGGCTTCTGTATGGCAGCTTTTATTAACTCATCTTTCAACTTGTTTGTAGCCATGAAGACTTCCTGATCGAATGGGCTTCTGTTCCTGGTGGTATTCCTGGTCCAGGCTATTTTCCTTGACCTTTATAAGCTTACTATACATTTTTGAATAGCTACTGTTGTGATCTATTTGCCTGTTAATAGGATTCTTTCCAACAGTTCATGATCTCTTTCTAGGGACAAGTTGACTTTAGAGCCACTGCATGAACTTACACAGCTTTTTCTCACTTTCACTTCTTGCACCTCCTGCTCCCAATCCATGGGCCTAATGTGTTGTTGGTTATTCTGTACAATCGTAAAGGTGTTATACTATCCAGTGGCCTTACCCACTCTCCAAATAATAGTCTAATTTCTCCACTGACTAGCCCCTTGTGGCACAAATATGACCTTTGTACCCACTTTTGGTACCTGTCCTTTTGATAATCAGAATTAGTTTGTTCTTCATTAGACAAATCGTCAATGCTAAAAGTCTGATCCACATAGCTGTGTAATATATGGTCACGAGAAGTATCAGGACCCCTATCCTGTTCTTTAACTCCTTTAGAATCTATAAATTTGAAATTTACACCAAGCAATCTTGAACAATGTTCCCAAACAATCTTGTCCCTTGCTATACAAATATTGTTTTTCCATCCTTACCAATAACCCTTCCTAGGCATCAGTGGCTCAGTGGTTAGCACTGCCACCTCATAGTACTAGGGACCCAGGTTCGATTCCACCCTCGGGCAACTGTCTGTGTGGAGTTTGCACATTCTTCCCGTGTCTGTGTGTGTTTGCTCCCACAGTTCAAAGATGTTCAAGTTAGGTGGATTGGCTATGATAAATTGCCCATAGTGTCCAGGAATGCGTAGGCTAGGATGACTAGCCATGGGAAAGGCAGGGTTACAAGTATAGGATAGGACAGTGGGTCTGGTTGGGATGCTCTTCGGATGGTCGGTGTGGACTCGATGGGCCAAATGGCCTGCTTTCATACTCTAGAGATTCTATGATTCCACTACTATTTATGCCCCTCTCTTTCATAATAAACAACATCTCCTTGATTGAAACTGGTTTCCAATGGCCTTACACCATACCTTAAAGCTTGCTGAATCCTTTTTGAAACTGTCACTTTATTAAAAGCCTGTCTGCCTGCGTGTAGTGCCTTCAGATGTTCAACACAGTAAAGTTAATTGTAGCCCCTTCAAGTGCTGATCACTTATAATGGATAGAACTTAATGATCTGTAACAACTACTAAATGATTTGGACTATATTTTATGACCATCTGCAGTGAATTCTTGACATTGCCAGCCATGCTAGTGCAGATGATAGAATTTTGGCAGACCAAAGCGTAAACAACGAATCATTTTGTCTATTATTGCATGGTTCCTTTCACATAGCCTGTTGGTAAAATGGCTTCCTGCTGCCATATTCAGAACTGTTAAGTTCATATTTCTTCATATATCTTGAAATTCATCATGAGCAAATTACCCCCCATTCTCAGATATTTAACTATTCGTCCACGTCCAGTCCCACCCCCATTTTCATTACCTTATACATAATTATTTTCATATTTTTACTATGTGTTATTGTTGATTGATTCAATCTGGTTGCCAAATCTATAAAATGTAACATTTTTCATCCTTATCCCACATCTTTATGTCCGTTACCACTATCTTGATGAAGTACCTTGCTAACAGCAGACCTACTGGAGGCATGACAGCATCCTTCAGTATCTTACATCTATTACTTAGCACTTCTACAAACTTATTACATTCCTTATTCCTAATTCCTGAATCATTTACTAAAATTTTTAAACTTTTGGAGGAGACATCAACAAATTACCCATGTAGTTTTAACACAATTAACTATTTGTCTTTTAAATTTCTATCCCCTGATGTCAATAAGACTTCTTCAAAAAATTTACTTCGTTGTATCCCTCTAGTGTAAATTGCAAATTTACAGATTTTCCAAATCCATTGGCTTTCTTGCTTTCCATATCCAGTTTCATATGCACTTACTTTCATCGAAGGCTAACTCAATAACATCGGCATTGAACGGACACTATATCCATGCTAATAAAATGATTTAATTATGGCTATTTTACAAGGAGTAATTACTCTTTTTAAATGAAGATTTTGTGTGTTATCATCTCCAAATCTGAAGCTGGTAGAACTCTCAAATTCCTTGCCTTTGTTCCAACCCCTATTTATCAGAGAGTATAGGTACCAATTTAATCATCTATTTCACATAGTGCAGACGTACAGCCGCAGTCTAATACTGATCAACTGAAAGATTCTGATCCCAACACATTCATCATTGGGCTGAAACTTCTTGAGACCATAAAAAGACCCCTCTTTGATCCATATATCCATATTCTTCTTCTGTATCTTTGAATATTCTACTGTACTTTTTATGCTAATTCATGGTACAATGTTACTTTGAACCACACCTGAAACATTATTTGACTGAACTCTATGCACTTATGGGGTTCATTTGTCTATTGTAAGTCCCAAATTCTCTTAGCTTCTAAAATTCAACAAAAGCATTTCTGTCCTTATTTCTCCTCATTCAAATTCTTCTTTCGCACCTACATCTTGATGATCTTTAATGACATTAAGACTTCCATTTTCTTTTGAATGGCTGATTGCCCCATTTGCACCATGAAAACAGATGGAAGCATAGCTTTCCAAGGATGTTTGCTTCTGACATTTCTTCTCAGGGAATGTGTTTATCTGCAAATTTAACTCCTGTCAAACCTAGAAGTCTATCTAGATTTGACATTGTGGATTCGTCTAATAGCTGAAATTGGGGAATTTTCAAATATAATTTCTGCAGTCCTGCACACCATGTACTAAATTCTACGATTGGTCTTTTATGGAATTGATGTTCACTCTTCCTGAATATGTCAAGAATGTGAACATACCACTATCAGGTCTCTCCCCACCACCAAGCCTCTCCCAAGGTCCACCATTTCCCCCACACCCCAGGATGCCGCCTGCATATTCCCGGCCCATCTCCTCGATCATACCCAGTTAAATTCACTAACCTTACCGGCCTGGCCATCACTCTCTCACAACAGCAGCAGAGCTTAAACCAAAATGAGAAATAAATCACCCGCCAACACACGTCGGCGCCCAGTCGCACATTCACCACAACTGTAAAATTACATTTACCGTTTGAGGAATTACAGAATAAAAGGCAAAATAAAAACTTTTAAAAAAATACTGAGGCTCGTATGCATTTAAACAATTCAGCTTCCTCTCGCTCCGTAAATACGCAGACGATATCCCGCCGAATCAGCTGTTTGATATTGAAGCATTCTTTCTAGAAAAGGTGCTTGGGCTGCAGCTGGTTCCTGTTTGGAGAAGGCATTGGCTGCAGGTAATGGTCAGATTTATTAATTATCGCTTCCGAGAAGTCAAAATGCCTTTTGCTCAATATTTGCAGGAGGAGAATATAATGTGTAAAACATATGAAGAGTTTTTTCTTTAATATTTCAGTTGTAAATACCATATTATGTCTGCGCTTTGTTTGTCATTTGTTGGTGTACATAGTTGAGTAGGTTGTATGCTAAAGTTCTTCCATTTTCTCTTTCTGTAAAGCATTTATTAATTCAGACACCTCGGTTAAGTTGCAGCTTTCTCTCTCTCTTCTCCGCCCTCCCCATGCATTATAAATACGTTTGATAAGAACAATTGTGGAGGGCATTTATAGAATCCAAGTTGTTGCAGTCATTGTTATTATGGAACACTTTTAGTTTTTTCTACAACACTTTTCCTGGGCCCATATTATAAATAGCATCTTGCTTGAAGAATGCTCAATTATGGAATATTGGTCAGCATCTGCATTTACTGAACCTACACAATAAGGTCTTTTTTTTCTTCAATATGCTCATTTGGATAGAACGCAGCAAAAAAATTCAGCAAGAAAGAATTTTGGTAAAATCCTCTGAATGCTGGTAACTAAACCAATCTGTCAAATGGCATGTTTAAAAAGATACCTATTGTACTTTGAAGCTGGATAAACAAGATTAAAATTCAGTGTTGTCAGGCCAGTAGTTTGTGTGAAACTGTGGCCCTTCAGAATTAATTATCAAACTGGTGGGATGTAGGTTTTTGTAAGCGCCCTTCAGAATCCACAATGATTTCTTTCTGTTCCAATTTCAACATAGCCAGATTGTAACACACAACCCTCGTTACATTGGGAATTTATACCAATGATAAATGACATACCTTAGATCAACTTCAGATAGCTGAAAATAATGGTATTGAAATTACAACAAGAGAGGTATTCCACATAAATGGAAATTGCTGGAGAAACTCGGCAAGTCTGGCAGCATCTGTGGAGGGAAAGCATGGTTAGTATTTTGAGTCCAGCGACCCTTCTTCAGAACTTCTCAGTTTCTGTTTGTGTTTCAGATTTCCAGCATCCACAGTTCTTTGTTTTATTTCAAAGTATTCTGCATGCATTGTCAACTGCAATAATAAATTTATATCAAACAGCTAGAAAAAGTCTGCATGGAGTTCTTTTTTATTCATTGATGGGACGTGGGCATTGCTGGCTGGACCAGCATTTATAACGTATCCCTAGTTGCCCTCGAAGGTGGTGGTGAGCTGCTGTCTTGAACTGCTGCAATCCATTTGGTGTAGATACCCTCAAAATGCTGTTAGGAAGGAAGTTCCATGATTTTGACCCTGTGACAGTGAAGAAACAATGATATATTTCCAAGTCAAGATGATGAGTGAGTTTGGAGGGAAACTTACAGGTGGTGGTGTTTCCACATATCTCTTGCTGTTGTTCTAGACAGTAGTGGTCATGGGTTTAGAATGTGCTGTCTAAGGATCGGTGTTGCAGCTACACTTAAAGGTCTTGGCTTGGGATGTGAAAAATTCAGTTCTATTCTGGGAACATTACCAGGGCCCACAGCCTAAGCAGTATCCAGTGCCTTCAGCCGTATCTTAATGTCGCATGGAGTGAATTGTGACCCTGGGAACCTCAGAAGAAGGCTGAGATGGATCTTCCACTTAGCATTTTTGACTGGAGTGTTCCAGACACTTAAGTCTTACCCTTTTCACTAATGCTATGGGCTCCCCCATTGTTGATGGGGATAGTTGTGGCACCAGCTGCTTCAATGAGTTGTTTAATTGTCTACCACTCTTCACCACTGGATGTGGCAGATATGTGCGCAGTCTATCCCATTTGCACAGTGGTTGTGCCATACAACATGATGGAAGGTATCCTCAGTATGAAGATGGGACTTCATCTCCACAAGGATTTTGCAGTGGTCACTCCTGCGAATTCTGTCAATGACAGCTATTTCTCACAGGCAGATTGGTAAGGATCAAGGAAAAACAAATATGTTTTTTGGTGCTGGACATTGAAGTCTCCTACGAGAACAGATTCAGCATCCTTTCCACCTTCTTTGCTTCCTCCCAAATTCAACGTGGAGGAATACTGAATCATCATCTGATAGGGGTGATATCTGGTAATCAATAGGAGATATCCTTGTCCATATTTCACCAGATGCAATGAGACTTCATGTGATCCGGAATCAACATTGAGGACTCCCAGGGCATGTCACTGTGCCACCATCTCTGCTCTCCTTCCGGTAAGACAGTATATGCCCAGAGTGGGGATAGTATCTGAGACATTGTCATCAAGGTATGTTTACATGGGTTTAACTGCTGCTTGGCTAGTCTGTAAGACAGTTCTCTGAGTTTTGAACAAGTGCCCGAATGTTGGTAAGAAGGACTTTCCAGGCTCAACAGGGCTAACTTTGCTGTTGTAATTTCCTATGTTTAGTTCAATGCCAGATGGTTAGTGCGATTTCATTTTCTTTTGAGATTTTTTTTTAATGATTTGATACAATTGAAAGGCTTCCTAGGCCAGTTCAGAGGGCAACTGGGAGTCAGACACATTTCTTTTTTGTGGAGTTACATTTAGACGGACCAAGTAAGGGTACCAGATTTCCATTCCTAAAGAACACTGGTGAACCAGAAAGGTTTTTATCTTATGACAATTGAGAATGGAATTGACAATTCCAGATTTTATTGAAATCAAATTCCACCATCTGTCCTGGAACCTAGAACATTACTTGGGTCTCTGGATTACTAAATCAGAGACAATACCTCTAACATCATTTCTTCCCCCTGTATATTCCTCCTTTCAGGACAGATTTATTCTGATGGACTTTTCAGATTGTCTCTCTTTCTATTTTAAAAAAAAGTCTCTTGAACTATTGTCCTGCCTTATGTGAAGTATTTTAAAAGAATGTAAAATATTGCAGTTACTGAAAATCGGAAATTTTTAAAACGCTGGAAATATTTAGCAGGCCTGATATCAGCTGTGGAGAGAGAAACAGAGTTAATATTTCAGGTCTGCGACCTTGCTTCAGAATTCCGATCAAAGTCAAGGGGAAACTAAAATTCAATTAAGTAAGGTAGAAGCAATAAATGGAAAATCCCTTGGAGTGAGGTGGGGTAAATTTTCAAGATGAACGCTCCTAGAAGAGAGGTCATAGTGAATTCAAAACTGATAGCAAAGAAAAATACTACAGTGCTATATCCCAGGTGAAGCAGGATGCCCAGCGTTGTAGAAATAAGGTCAATGATCTTCTGCGCTTCGTAAGGGTAAGTGCCACTACTTTTGCTCTGCTATCTTGCACTCACAAGTTCACAACTCTCTCAAACTCTGCCACTGCACACACATCTCATCAATGCTAATAGACTACAACTCACCACTGACCTTTCTTACATCTACTTTCATCACAGTCATTCCTCCCTGTCTTATTGTAGGAAAAACTAGCCCATAAATAGAAAAGAAATCCAAGACCAACTGTAGTTGAGTGGTGGCTGACATCAGGTTTCTCGCTTTCTACAAACAGAAAATTCTAGAGTTAGCTGGGGAAAAGCACAACTGCTTGTGAAGCCAGGAGGCCCTCGATGGCCATCCAGCCCATAAACCTTTATCCTTCTTTGACAACTAATTCTCTTTCTTAGGAAACAGCTGGTGGTATCCAGCTCACATCCAAACCTGAGAAGGAAGCCACTCACCTCTGAGAATGCAGTGGAAAAGCACTCGCCTGCACTCCCCACCTGTTCAAAGAGAATACCCTCAGTGGATATTCTATTGAGAATCCCAGTCTAGCGAGCAGGTCTTCACATCTAGTCAAAGAGATGTCCCAGGAGTTAGCACTCAGACAACAGCTGAAGAGCAAGCAGTTGCTAAGTTTTGGGCAGAAGATGATCAAACAGGCATGGCGATTTAATCGTTGTGAAAACGCACAGACAGGCACAGGAACAGCAGGATGGATCGTCAGAGGCATTCGCTAAGCTGGATACAGTACACATATATCTGACTGTCTGCATGGACCAGTTGGTGACTATCATGGTGGCCAAGTCCACCATACTCTGTCTGCCAGATGTTTGCAGGGATCTGCACCACATCGCCTTACCGATAGGTCAACATCAATAACAAGGTGAATGGGGGGACAAGGGACCTTAACATAAACTGAAGTACTGCTTCCTCTCAGAAAGACCAGGTGGTGCCAGTTGGCACACATAGAAGTTGTCACATACGAGATACAGCAGAGGTGCCTCCCCGACGCGCCCCCCCACCAAACCCCAAAAAAAAACTGTGACCCTAAAGCCTGCAGAAGTTCAAACTGAGGATAGTGATCCTGAATCTGGAAAGGACACTCTCTCAGCAGACCTGGGCTAATTATGCCAAACGGCACCTACAGTATAACCACTCAAGCTTTCCATGCCAACTGGACCAGCTACAAAGCTGGCTTCCGCTGTCGCGAAGTTACGACTGCTCTTTGCACTCAAAGGAAGAAAAAGAATTAGGGTGTATCATTCACTTTGGTAAATATATTTTCATTTGCACAGTTAAACAACGTACTGCAGTATAATTTTGCGTGTCAGATCTGGTTAAGTCTCACATCCATGTGGGAGAGGAGTACCCTCTTCAGATATCTCAAGGATGAAAGAAGTTACAATCCCAAGCATTGACAAAATGAATTCCCAGAGCTTTACCCTGACTCTGAAGAAAACAATAGTAATTTATTCCACCCGATTTGTGTGAGGTGTTAGTCATTTTGTGTAGTTATTGTACTGATGATTTTTGATCCAATGTGGCAAGGTTCCAGTTTTATTTGTGTGACTAACATGCGGGCTCCACCTGTGATGTAAGATATTTACCCCCAGCC